TATCTATTCCGTGTAGTTCAGGTCGAGTTTGCCGTCTCCCTTTGAGAGATTCCACAAAAGATGGCGTTTTCTCCGTGGAGATTTTGGATTAGGATATTAAGCAGATAAAAGTTAACAGTAGATAGATCAATGGAAAAGGGAGAGGAGTTCAATATATTTCGAGTTTATCGATAAAAGAAGTGCGTAGGTTATACAGAGTATCCCGGAATGAACTTCGAAGCTTTCGTGGAAGCATAGAACGGATTGAGGTGAACATAAAAGTTTTATACCGTTTTGTGATATTCGCAAGAATTATCGAGATATTACTAAAAGAAGATTTGTGAATGATCACGCGAAATATGGTGAATGAGCCGTAATGGCGATATCTGCTATCGTGTGCTACATTAGGTTGAACTAACTAAAAAGTCCTCTACCATTTCCCTAATAACTTGGTGGATTTTGAATTATTGATTAAAGAAGATTGGCAGATTGTCGCTCGCGATAATATATTAATGTCTTCTCATTAATAATTAAAAATCTATTAAGAAAAAGGTAGAGGACTCTTTTATTCAGTTTGATCCAATGTAAAAGCACACTACGGTAGATGTCGCCACTGCGGCTCATCTACCATATTTTGCGTGATAACTTATTAATCTTCCTTTAATTAATATCTCGATAATTGTTGCGAATATCGCAAAATACGACTTTTATGTTCATCTTAATCCTAGGGCTCCTACGACAGCTTCGAAGATTGTTCTAGGACACCCTGTAGATATTATACGTTTTTGTATGTAATACATACGAATGAAAAATCCTTATTTAACGATTTGTTTGCTCGATAGCAATTTTTAACGAAGCACGTGTATGACCGAACATTCGCTAAGTTTTGACAAATAATTCAACTGTTTTCAAGTATTTAAATTGTAGAGCTGCAATACATATTTTCTTCGTACGAGCGTATTTCAACAGCCGCGAAACGTAGAGGGATTTACAATCGGAAATTAACAAAATTAATATTTACCTGCAGCACGCGAATTCGGATTATGTGCTCTCCGAGTGAAGATTACTTCGTTAACAAACTCCGCGTCCAGTCAAATATGGATCCATTGTTGTAATTTTATCGCAAGCATTTAATACACATCGTATTATTGACGAGCGCGATTGTTTCCCGTACCGACTGCGTTGCTCATGCGCTTTAACAAGTCCTTTGCCTTGGGCGTTGAACGGCTACGTTCCTTGCAAGAGGAGCGAAATTAGATCTCGCGCGACGACGACGGATTAACTATTACTCTCGGTTTATCGGCAGAGAGAAGGATCTATCCTTGAATTACGTAAGCGTTAAAAAGATCAGCGATCTTCCGCCGAATCCCAAGCACTTTCCGGCGAGTGTCTAACGTCGTGAATACCAATTTCGAGTTCGGCATTAGGAACTGAATTTTAAGGAGGACTCGGCGACTCTTTCTCTTTCTCTCTCCCCTTCTCCACCTCTTTCTTTGGAAGATCTCTCGGAAATCGCCGGCAGAGCGAGGGAGGAGTAGACCGGAAGCGCTTTTCGGCGCCGACCAAAGCGGCTATTAGGAACGTCGTTGTCCACGTAGGAAAACATTTGTACGTTACGCTCCTCCATGGTGGATAAAAAGACGCTTGTCGATTCCGTATGATCGATTTCAACTACGCCCGGGCCATGTCGCGTTTACATCGTCCGTGAGCGTTTACTACCGCCGCGGCTACTACCACCGTCGAGCTACTCACTTAGTTAATTCTTACGGTCTCACGTACCATAAGCTGACGCGGCTGAAAATGATGAGTCCGAGATTCGAGATTACACACGTAGCGAGGAACACGTTTCAAGTTATAGCGCGGAATATGAAGCGCTCCCTCCCTTCCCCGCGTGCGTTAAATTTATGAAAAGGAATTAATTCGCGCGCGATATTGCGCAATGTCGGAAAAGCCGCGCGCGGAAAGCCTCGACGTCGTTATCGATCCAAGCAAACACTCGATTGTGCATTTATTGACGCGATGGCTCAAAATTAACTGCTCGTAAACGACATTTGACGAAGAGTACAAACGCGTGCGTGATATGAAAGCGGGATACTACAGTCGAAGATATCGTGATGTAAAACAAATACAGTCCAATCGGTCTAGGATGGCAATTGGTCACGATATCTTGCTTTACTTGTATCTCAGTGGAGTGTAATATAATTTGTGGCGTGAGGTAGAACGTGCCCGACAAAGCTTTTGAAATATTCCACTGTTTGGCGCGAATCACATGCGACACAGCTGATATCTTGTTTGCCAGGTGTTTTATCGTTCAATGCTATTAATTGGCCGCGTGGCAAAAAGCGCGATCAATGCGCAGATCTACTTAATTAGTCACACACGCGCTTATCTACGTTATCGGGCCCCCAACGTGGTCAACGATGAGGCAAGTAGGATATATGGTGCAACTACCAGGAAAATAAAGATACCGAGCAGATTTCACATGAACAAGAAGTGATGTTTCCACTGAATCATAAATTGTTTCGTCATAAAAGTTGCGAAGTGTGTATATAAATGCAGATAAAAAACGCGAAATCACGCTTTATGGATAAATCAAGTAATTTAGGGATATCTTGACGTGCCAATGAAAAAATGATAATTCTAGTTAAGCTAGTAATTCCAATTATTCCAGCTGGATGGTGCTTTAATGCTTCATTAATTAAGATACTTTGATATTTCCTTTAATTATATAGAACAGTGGAGATCACGGAACATAAACACTTAAAGGCAAACTTAATTTACGTCGTAAAAGTTAATCGCTTCTTTTTATTAGATCGAGAAAGATCCCGATATTTACTCGGCGAAATTTAGATATTTTGTATAAAACTGATGTAAGAACATGTTTTTATATTTAATTATTAAGTTGGTTTAAAGTATTACCACCACCAAGAATCAATTATATTATGTAAACGCAATTTTACACAAAATAAAGCTTAATTTGTATATATCTGTCACGTATTCTTCGCCAAATCTATTCCGACGTTTTTCGCAACATTATCATCCAAAATTCATTCATTAGTATCGTTATACGGAAACCCCTTTAAAGTTTAACGGGTTTTATTAAACCCATTATTATTTTATTAAACAATAACACTATCTACGCTTGCAAGATTGCCCAAAATGCAGCCTTATATTGGTATACAAAATTTATTGGTGTACAAAAAAAATTTCTGAAAAAAGAATTTATTCAGTGGGTACTAATAATATGTTTACTTTTCTATATATATATATATATATATATATATATATATATATATATATATATATATATATATATATATATATATATATATATATATATATATATATATATATATATATATATATATATATACATATAATTTTATTTAAATAAAATAAGCAATTGTTTTTACAAAAAACCAAGTTTTTAAGAAAATATATATTTTTTTATTTGAAAAATATTTTATATTAATACGAGCAAATATGTTATTAACACCTGTCGGAATAAAAATATTTTTTATTTCCTAAATATTTTTTCTTCCCTACACAGAGTATAAGCTTGATAAATAACAATTTTTATTATTATTTACACTAAAACTGTTGACGCTTTACGAAATATTCCTATAATGCAAGAGGAAATAATAGTTCTTTTTAATCCCTTGGTAGTTCTCGTGTTAAATAACTTAACATTGATATTGAAGACTGTACACTTTTTACCCAAATTATATGAAAAGAAAAACAAATGAAAATGTTTAGCAATATAATAATTCGTTCAGGAAGAATTCGGTAAGTGTCAAAATTCTTCAAAAGCAACAGCCGATATCTTACAAGTAAATAAATTTAGTTTGTAATATACAAAACATGTGCACGGAAAAACGACTTTAACATGTGTTATAGCATTTTTACAGCATAATTTTATTTTTAAAATATACAAAAGTTATATAACATTTTACGTCTATTTTTTATTGTATAAATATTGAGAATAGCATAAAATGTATTTTCTGATTATTTTAATATAAACCATTTCTTCAAATATTATTTACGTATTTTGAAGAGAAGTGAGATTAATAAAAATAATATAGATATATAATTTTAATTTGGTTTATACTTATAATCACTATCTATTAACTTTTAATATATAATAATTAGAGTTTCAGATATGTGCAATTGCAGCAGTTGTAAAATTGCGTTTACATAATATAATTACTCTTGGTGATAATACTTTAAGCCAATTTAATAATTAAATATAAAACATGTTCTTACGTCAGTTGTACACAAAATATTTGACTTTTGCCGAACAAATATCGGAATCTTTCTCGATTTAATAAAAAACGAGTAATTAACTTTTACGATGTAAAGTTAAGTTTGTCTTTAAGTAATTATATTTCTTGATTTTCACGGTCCTATTAAAGAAAATATCAAAGCATTCATCTTGATTAACGAAGCATTAAAGCATCACCCAGTATAACTGGAATTATTAGCTTAAGGAATTATTATTTTTACGTTGGTATGTCAAAATATCCTTAAATTACTTCAGAACTGATAAATTATAAAAATGTCGAGATTTCTTACATATTGAAATGTAAGAAACTACTTACTACTTCATGGCACGGATTTTCCGCCATATCTTAACGATATATTTTTGGATTCGTTACAATTTTTATCATGTGTAACAATTTTACATTAAATTTCACATTAATTTCATTAAATAGGCATTTCACTTTTCGTATTACATAATAATACAATCGGATTAAAAATCACAAAATAACGCGCCTCGAAATATAATCGCGCGTAAATGCAATAACAAGTGTGCCCTATTTTCATAGATAAACAGAATAAAGTAATGGTGTGCGTGTACATTCACAATGCGCGAAGAAGAAACGTTAGAAAAGGAGACAAATAATCTTACGTAAGTCGTCACAGCGTCAGGTGACGGAAATCTTGGAATTAACGTGATCGACCATTTCTCATGGAAACAAACCCGGGGAATTGATAACGCTAGGATATAAATGCCTTCGGCGATCATCGAATGAGCAGTGAGAATTCAGTTGACATCCATCCACGACAAACCAAGAAGCCAAGATGCGCGCTTTGCTCTTTGCGATTTTGTGCTTTTCCATGGCCGTCTGCATAATAGCAGACTTTGAACTCGGCCAGCGCCAAGAGGGCGACTATATTATCACCAACAGGACTATTTTTAAGGTAAGTGACTGTTTCTACACCGAGGAGCACAGACTTTTCACGTTATCGATTTTTCCGGATTGTTAAGATAGAAGCCAATGTCTGGGCACTGATAATACTGGTATCTAGAGACCTTATAATAAGAGTCTGACCATCAGAGGAATTCTGGCAAGATTCTTCGAGAGAGAAAGATATATATATATTTCCTAGAGATCCTCTAGGAAATATATATCTTTCTCTCTCGAAGAATCTTGCCAGAATTCCTCTGATAGCCAGAGTCTTATTATAGAGTCTCTATAGGATATCTAACTCTTTACATTCTTATTGTTTTAATTTTTAAATACGAATATTTAAATTCTTTAAACGTACGATATATGTATATTCTATATTTAATATAGAATATATATCTATATACAATATATATACAATATATATTCTATATTGAAAGTTTAAATATTTGCATTTTTAAAGACTAATTTGAATCGAAACGATAAGAATGTCCAGAGCTAAGTACTAGCATTATTAGAGGCTATTGATACTTTTATTTTATGCGACCTTTATTTCGCAAAAGCGAACTTTGTATTCGATTTTTACGAGTACAAAGGGGAAAATATATTTCTCGTGTTAATTTTAGTCTCACGCGCGTCGAGATCGTGATTTTCCTTGGATTGTTTCTGTATTGTGATTCACAGTGAGCGTTTGATAAATTTGTCGTATTAATGTCATAAACAGTCGTATTAATATTCCATATTCTTTGCAGCCTGCGATCCCTTTTATACCTATGAAAGCCAATATCCTCGTGAGGGCATCGCTCAACGAAGCTATCACCCATGTTAGGGTCAGCAATATAGGAGGCAGAAACACTAACTTTATACATATGTCAGGTGCCGCCGGCACGAGATCTGTATACGTATTTGCAATAGGAAAACCCGGCGAGGGAATGCTTATAAAAGTGGAGGCTGCCGCTATAAATCTAAACACAATTACTTCACCAGCACCGACAACCACACCGCCGGAAACAACGACGGAGGAAGTGGAGATATCCACGATTCCCGTATCGAGTGAGGAATAATAGGGAAATAAACGATATATTCGATATATATTCGATGGAAATAACAGCACCTCTAATAGCGGCAACGAATGAGCCTGACGATGATCAATCGACTAGAAACGCTTCTTTAGAAAAATTATTAATTTCAGCTTATATATATAAGACTGCTGTAGACATTTAATTTCCTACAACCTAATTTCAACATAAAATCTATGTATGTAACAATTACTATGTATATGTGACTAAATATATAAGAAGCAAAACAAATTGCACGACATGGTGTACCTAATTACCTAATTATACAATTACGAGTAAAAATGTGCGACGAAGTCGGTATTAATTAACACGCATCGATCTGTAATATGGAGTACGAGAATTTCGAAGAAACTGCATTTTGGACGTAAAATGCGGGAGGAACTTTAAGTATTCATTTCACCTCCATTATCAATTCCAAACACAAAGCGGCTTTTATAACGGTCACAATGTCGATTGCAACATAAAGTTATATACACTGGATTTCAAACCGGCTTCTATACTTTTTTTCGATACAGTTTAGGATGCAGACAATGATAGCATAGTTTCTAAAAAAATACAAGTTCTCTCTTTTGTTAAGTCATCGTCCCAAACTGCATCAAAAAAAGCATTCGTTTTGAAACCAAGTATACATAGACTGCGTCTTCTTATGAAAAGTTTGAAGAAAAGATTTGAAGCTTTCCCTCTCTACTCCACAAGCATTCTCTCTTTGTCTAGATTGACTCCTATTGAAGGAGGCTGAACGAAATGTCCAATAAAAGTTGGACAAACTAAAAATCGCAGCCCTTCCTGGAAAGCTCAGTTTATGTACATAAGTCAAGGATTGCAAACTCATGACTGGACTCATTATCTGGAGTTACAACAGCGTCAGTGCCATAAAGCTGCATCACTGGCTGTTGTAACTCCAAACAAGTTCACGTCATGAGTTTGTAATCATCGTCACAACGAGCGTCGCAATCGACATTGCGACCATTGTAGAGAACCTGAAAAGTTCACCCGGCATCATGTAGCGAGATTCAAATGACACAACGCAATCTTGCACACGGTACTGAGCTCCTTCGCATTCGAGGAGAACGGCCCGGTATCATCTTGTATCTCCTCGCGCAAACACGCGTCATCCGCTTCCGTGTGTCTCTCTCCCCCTCCCACCCCCGTCCAGCCCTCTCTGCCCCTCTTGTGCGCGCGAAGGCCGCGCGACAATGCTCGACACGACTATGGGAATGAAATTACCATCGCGACTTATGTATTTCAGAAATCATCGACTCCGTGACGTGAAATATAATTTACTGGGTTTGAGAATTCTAAGCACAGACCTTCCGTGAGGTAACGCGTTTCCACGCGATGCTCCCTCGGCGACGGTTTAGGGGTGCATCGCACGTAAGCCACCGCTGTTACTTGATTCGCTTCATCTTCCACGGCCGGCTTAGAAAGGGATAGGGACTTTTCTCTTACCTCCTCTCGCTCTCCCTCCTTCCCTACCCTCGCTCTGCTTCTCCACCCCGCTCTCTTTCTCTCTCTCTCTCTCTCTCTCTCTCTCCCTCTCCTCGTCTTCCTCGTCTTCTTTCTTTTTTTCCTCTTATCCGAGCAGTGCAGTTCTCGGAAGCCTGGAACTGCGCTCGTGAAAATTGTACTCCAATTTAGTAAGATCCGATTTGTATGGATGGTTGCGTCCGGGATATCAGACTGGATATCGAGCGCAGTGCGCTGCGGAATTTTGATGGCGCCGATTGCGATAGGTGTATGCGGCGGCGTCCGCCGCGTCCGTGCATGTTTGACGCGTTTTTCAAAGATTTAATACATCGCCATTGCCCCGGGTGGCATCGCTCCGTGAGTTGCACCTTGCACGCACCGTCCGAGAGTCTTCCGTGCGGAGACCTCTCGTGCCTTTTCGCGTATCACGCAGCGGATCGGAGTCCTTGCGATACGCGAGACGAGCCAAGCTCGTTTTTAAAGGCCTTTCTACATTGGTCGCAATGTCGGTTGCAACGCTCGCTGCGATGATCGCCAACTCATGGCGTGAAGTGCTGACTTCGTTGATACGGCCAATCAGTGTACAAACGGCGTCATGGTTGCCTTAACAATTACTAGATCGAGAATTGTTAGATATCCTGGAGCAGACACATTCGTTTCTGGAAATGCGTATGCCATGACTACAGATTATATTCGGAGGAAACGCGCAACGATGTTCAAACGGGTGGATTCTTGGCAGCTCGAACAGCTTCCAGAAATCGTCTGCCAAATTAGAAAACCTGCTAACTCCGATTTTTCACGAAATTTAAATACTCATTTCGTCCGACTTGTCTCAAGATTTTGCATCGTTCGAAAATACTTTCTCAATTTTGTCAAGAATTGAAGTAAGAAGGTTTTCTAATTTGGTAGACGATAAGCTGTTCGAGCTGTCAGAAATCATCTGTATTTTCACAGCCAAATAGATTGTGCACTATTTTTTATGTATCACTATTTTTTTAACCATAATCATAAACTTATAGAATAGATTGCGCACTTTTAAGCCTGTGTCGCACTACGGATTGAAGATGAAGGATCAATCTGCAATCCTCTATTTCCAATAGTGTGACACGGGCTTTACGGAACGCCTGGTGACAAGATCGGAGAACAGAGATATGCTAAGTCAAGTAATTTCTTTGTTACACAGTAGTCTAGAAGGAGAGATGAGGAACATAATGTGGGAAATACAAAAGAGAGAATGGAACGTAGTGAAAGAAAGAAGGGACGCATTGTCACATGTGTGCGATCGTTTTTCCTTCTTTTTCTCCACTAATTAAACAATATTATAGACAAGGAAATTATCTTACTTTCTATTGTTCTCTTTTACTAATGCTGATTTCGTTTCTCCTACGATACAGTAATGTATAGTCACTAATTATATGTCTATGGTCAAAACGCATCGTCCAATGACAAAATTTGTTTCCCAATGAGAGATTCCTCCCATTAGACAAAACGTACGCGTTTCAAAACTCACACATAAAATGGTGGACAACCTATCTAGCCAAGAGTACAGTCTTTATACCACTGAGGCTTCCAATTAGTTGAAGAACGTCAAGCAAGTTCACGTCATAAATGTGCGATCATCGTTGCAATAAGCATCGCGACCGACATTGCGGCCAATACAAAAGAATCTTAAGGCTCTTCTACAATGTTGATTACAGTCCCAAGGAAAAAAAAACGTCGTCACATAGTAAAACAGAAACGCGACGCATAATAAAATGATATCATAGTCTCAATCACTGGCGCGTAAAAACATATTATTGACATTTCTAATTGGTTGTCGTAATCGTAACGGTTGAAGTTGACTCAACTGCTGCGATTCAAACTTGCGAAACATATATGTCCCACTGACGAAAAAAACAATAATTTAAGACAAATAGTCTTATCGACATCTACCTTGACTTGATTTAAAGAAGAAGGTTAAGCCTATATACAGGATGTCTGGTAACTTATAAAGGAGTCGCGGTGGCTTACAGGTAGATTAAGTCAAACTGAACAAAAAATTCCTCTACCATATTGACTAAATAAAAAATTCCTCTACCATATAACCATGTAAAATTTTGAATTATTAATCCAAGAAAATTCGTAAATGATTACGCGCCATACGATAAATGAGCTATGATGATGACGTTTGTCACTGTATGCTTGTACATTAGATTAAACTAAACAAAAAGATCCTCTACTATTTCGCCAATGATTACGTAGATGTTTAGATATTAATTAAAAAGATCGCGTACAACTATACACCAAACTTCTTTAGACGTTTCTCCATCTCGCTCAGAAAATTTATGAAAAAGATCGCGTTGTTATTGATAAATAAATTGTTATTTATAAAAATTATATAACTATGTAACTATATCGACAATTATTAATATGTATGTATGGAATAGCAGATTTTGACTAAAAATCGAAAATACATGTGTTCCTTATAGTCACTGAGATTTCTTAAATTTAAATTTTTACATTCTATTTGTAATTAGTGATAATAAGAAAAAAATTTTATATCTTAAAATTTTATAATAGAAAATCTTAGTGATAATAAGAGAATCAGAAAATTTAATAGATTTAGATTTTAAATATATGAAAATTAATTTTTTTTCCACAGACGCTATTTTAAATTCGCTATTTCTTTAATTAAGATTCTTAATTCTTCAAGTTTTTATAAAGTTCCACGGATTAATGTGACGCTCCTTTAAAAAATTGAAAATACTTGTACATATTTAAACAGTTTTAAGAGTAAACAGAGTTATCTTTCTTTAATTCCATTCATCAAATTAATTAAAAAAATTTAGTCACTTGCCAATAAATTACGAGCATATTGAAAGTTGACCATAAATAATATTTTGATGAAATACAGATTAGTGAAGTAAGCTTAAACGATGACAAGAAATTCGACGCTCAAAATGTACTCCGACAGCGTGCCGTGGCAATAAACTTAATTAGCGAGTGACTGTAAATCCTGACGCGTAATGGCGTCTGTGTAATGACCAATCAACCGCGCGCACGAATTCCAGCCAGCGAGCTGTGTGTCATAACGTAACGAGTGAGAGTGCGTATCTGAGACGGCTCAGAGTTTACCGACCAAGCCTGCGGACTGCGTACATTACTCCAAATACGCACCTGATAATCGTCCTAAACTCAGACCGTATCGAAACAGGTGTGCGCACGCACACACACGTGCGCGCGACGTCTCAGAGCCACACGTACACATACTTATGCGTTACGGCGTTGGTGGTACATGCCCGAAGATAAGGGCGTGAATCTCCGGGCTTAATGCTGCACTAATTAGCGGAGCTTATAGCGGCGAAATAAGATTATACGATTAATTCAACCTCGGAGATTTTCGATGTGCATCCAATGTTTCCGATTGTCAGTTTCCGATAAAACATTACTTTTCTCCGTAAAATGCATCTCTCTCTCTCTCTCTCTCTCCCCCTCTCTATTCCATTCTCCCTATCTCGATACAATTCGTATATCATTGTACAGAATCGAGAAGGTTACAGAAGTAACGCGGTGACTTTATCATTCTTTTCTATAAAAAGTAATTCTCGTTATCGTACTTATAAATTTACAAATTTTCAAATTTCTGGTTTTTTAATTTATGACATCGAAAGCAACAAAATATATATAAGCGACATAATATGAAAGTATTTGCAAAAAACGTTGAAAAGACATAAAGTGACACTTGTAATCAATCAAGCAGATATGTTAAATAGTCCGAACACTTTCCTTT